TACCATAGGTAGCAAGGTCCCAAGGACTTGGCTCATCTGCTGCTCTCCCAGGCACATTAGCAGGGAGCAGCTGGGACTTGAACTGATGCTTGTATGGGATGCCAGCCCTGCAGGTGGTAGCTTTACCTGAAATGCCATAATGTTGTCTCCAGGAATAGTTTGTTTTGCACTCTCATGTCTCAGTGGATTTAGTGAGCTTTCTGGACTCCGTTGATCAGTTCCTGTCTGTGACCCTTCAGGGGGTTATGATGATGTCAGTTGAGACTACTGGTGTTTGGGCTCACTCAGAAGACTGGTAGTTGACACTGTCTGTTAATGGGACACTAAGATTATAATGTGTTCTGCTTTCTTGTATTTGTTTAATTTTTCTTTTTGCAGATCTTGGAATCACTTATTTTTTAATTTTATTTAAGCTATACAAGTTTCATGTATTTCATATATACAGATTTAGGAACACAGTGATACTTGCTACCCTATCCTCCCTCCCACCCATGCTCTAACCCTTCTTCCTATTCCATTCCCACTCTTAATTTTTTAGCTTTTATTTAATTAATACAAATTTCATAGGTACAGCTTTAGGAATATAGTGGTTCTTCCCCCCCATAGCCACCCTCCCACCCCAACTCCTGTCCCACATCATACTCCTCCCATCCCATTCTTCATTAGGATTCATTTTTAATTATTTTTAGATAGAATACCAAGTCTATACTAAGTAAAGATTTCAACAGTTTGCACCCATACAGACACGAAGCACCCACACAGACACAAAACGTATAAAGTACTGTTTGAAGATAATTTGCAGCAGTGGGGTGGCTGGATCATAGGGTAGGTCTATAGAGGTATCTCCATACTGTCTTCCACAGTGGCTGCCCCTGTTTACATTCCCACCAACAGTGGACCAGAGTACCTTTTTCATCGCATGCTCGCCAGCCTCTGTTATTTGTTGATTTCTGTGTGAGTGCCATTCTGTGTGGAGTGACATGAAACCTCATTGTGGTTTTGATTTTCATTTCCCTAATGATTAGTGATCCCAAGTATTTTTTCAAGTGTGTGTTGGCCATTTTATTATTATTATTTAAAAGGCAGAGTGACAGAGAAAGAGGGGGAGACAAAGAGACATAGTGGGAAAAGAGATCTTTCTCTGGTTCACTAACAGAATGGCTGTAATCCCTGATGGAGTCAGGAGCCTGGAACTCCATCCAAGTTTATAATGTGAGTGGTAGCACTTAAGTATTTGGACCATGTTCAGCTCATTTCCCAGGTGCACCTTACTGGTCAAGAATATATTATGGGCATTTTGTTAGTTAAACAACTCCGTTTACATAAAACTAGGCAAAAAATGAAAGAAAAAAGAGAAAAATAGAGGAAGGCAGAAAATAAAATCGACTCCAGCAATCTATGAACGAAAATTCTGCAAATGGACTTGAGTGTTTATTTGAACCAACAAATTATTTTAAAAATTGAAATAGTCAAGAACATGTAACTATGGAATAGTTATTTAGAAATTAGTGTTAATTTAGTTATATGTTAGCAATGATAATAATGTAATAATATAGTCCTATAGCTGTTAACAAGGTGAAGTCAATGAAAAATGCAGCTAAATTTAGTATTTTCTCTTACTAAGGAAATAAATATTCAGAACTGTTTCCTTGTGGCGTCATTTACCTTAATCTTTTATCTGTAAGATTTAAAAGGATTAAAGTTCAATTACTTGGAGTGATTCATAGTTTGCGTTATGTTCTTTCTATTGCTTCACATCATGAAGCACACAATATTAGCTCATCTCTTGTACCATTGGGGAGCTATGATACAATCATGTTCCTCAACAAAAGAAAACCATAAAATCTCAGTTTCATACAACAATAAGCATTAATATTCATGGATCTGTGCTTCAGCAAATCTACATCAGGAGGTTGGGTATATTACCAGACCCGAATGGCCAGTGGGACCTCTACCTGAAATATCTCACATGCATCCTGGGTCATCAAGCTATCCTTCTCCAGTAGAATGGAAAAAGAATGGGGTGATAAGTGGCCACCTTCCCAGGTTTCAAAGCCTAGCCTTGGACTGGCATAGTATTTCCACAAATATGCCATTATCCAAAGCAAGTCACAAGTCCAAGCCAAGCAAACCTGTACCACTTTCAGGAATGAGTGGAAAACTGATGCAGCTGATGTTAGCCTCATTATTCTAGTGAATGTTCTCTATGGATGAATGTTAACTAAAATTGCATATCTTTATTTTTAACTTTTTTGAAGGTTGTAAAATGCCAGGACACGTATTTGGCAGTGCCGTTGAATAGGTACTTGGGATTCCTACAACCTTACAACCTGTATCCTTGTGTCTGGGTTCAAGTCCTGCCTCCGCTCCAGATTCCAACTTTCTACTAATGCACACCTTTGGAGGCAGAATATGATGGCTGGTTCAAGTTTGTGGGTTCCTGCCATCCATGTGGGAGACCCAGTCTGAACTGTGGGCTCCTGGATTCATCCTGATTCAGCCCTGCCCTTGGATGGTGTAGCTATTTGAGGAATGAACCAGCCAATGGAATATCTGTTTGTCTCTCTGTCACTCTGCTTTTCAAAAAAATTAAACAGGTAAATAAAAAAAAAAAAAAAAGAATATATTATGGGGCCAACTAGAGTTCAGAAGATATTGGGGGCAGGCGCTGTGATGTACAGGTATAGCTGCCACCTGGAGTACCAGCATCCCATATGGGCACAGGTTTGAGTCCTGGCTGCTCCACTTCTGATCCAGCCCTCTGCTATGGCCTGGGAAGGCAGCAGAAGATGGCCAAAGTGCTTGAGCCTCTGCCCTAGCGTGGGAGACCTGGAGGAAGCTCCTGGTTCTTGGCTTTGGATCAGCGCAGCTCCTACCATTGCAGCCATCTGGGGAGTGAACCAGTGGATAGGGGACCCGCCCCCCTCACTCTTTCTCTGCCTTTCAAAAAAATAAAGACTTTTACAAATGATATTACAGAATGCTGGGTGAATGTGCAGAGGGTGTAACATCTTTTATATTGGGTGCAACGTTGTTTTCCAGTTTTGGAATTGTTGCCAAGAAGAAGTAGAATATGCCAAATACATGATTTCCTGGTGTGTATTACCCCTAGGGTAGACATATGCTGTCAATGTAGCCAAACACAGACAGCTGCCCTCAGCTGGAAAGAAGCTGCTAAGTTGTCATTTCTGGCAGTGACTTCAGCAGTTGTAAGGTCACTGAGCTTTCACAGGCAGCAGTGCCTGCACTGGTACGATAGTGACACCAAAAGCCTGCATCAGTGACAGTGGGAGCCTTCGGTAAGCAAATCAGAAAGATCAAGATCTGGGGACAAGTTGTAGTTTAGAATCTCAGCCACACAGAGGACTCTATTTGTGTCTTGCTCCTGGTTGTGCTTCACTATCTTCTTCAGGGGTTCTTTTGTATGCTGCCTATGATCCTTCAATGCACTTTTCAAAAATTTCTTGAATCAAGGTTTAATTCTCATTTTTTATGTCTTAGAATTCTAATTCACACAAAATAAATTATTTTAATGTTGTTTTTATGAGGCAATAAATCTTGGTCTAATGCTAAACTATATACCATGATCATATCAGGAAATCTGTAGTCAGAAACAAATAATTGCATCATTCTAACATTTTGGATATTGGTATTATTATATTATTCTCAAACATATGATATTTCAGCTTTACTGCTGCTTTTTGTTGAGGCTTTTGAAAATAAATACCACATTCCATAAATGTTTATTGTAGTATATGCATGGCTTAGCCCTTAGAGTGCTTATATTCCACTACAGAAATAAATTTGAAAGACAAAGATAAGATATGCAATATATGTATATAACTTAATTTCAACCTTTTCTCATTTTGCCTTCAAAATCTTTTTTGGTTAAAATATTTTGAAAGAAGTCAGAAAATATTCTAGGGAGTGCAACTGCTGAGTAAGGCTTTCAAAAGGCTGAGTCATCTCACCTGAGCTGCCAGGAGTCAGAAAGCAGAATATTCATGATAGTCGTGATTCCAGGAGCAAGAAGTGAAGGCAACTCCTCATAAACGGCATTACCAAAAGCAGTAGGTTAAAATAAGTGAAGTAAAGGAATCGCTCCAGAAAAAACTAACCCATCAAATTTTCTCAGACTATCAAAGGTGTTAAAATAAGTATCACATAGCAGAGTACTGGTAGCAATGCCACATTGCAATGTTAACTCTTGTACAGATATTTAAAGGAAGATTACCAAAAACATGAAAAAAAAAATCTGAAAGCACAGCTAAATGAAAAACCAGAAGGGGAAAAGCTGTTATCATATGATCCCCTAAAACAGACATCAGACCGGCAGTGAATCTTCATCGTGTTTGATATAATTGTAGAGCAGTGAATTTTTCTCTCCTTATACTCTACTCTCTACATTGCTCATGTCTCAGTTAATTGGCTCGATTCTCTGTACAGAATACTTTATATCAGAGGAATGTGTGTGTGTGTGTGTGTGTGTGTACAAGTGCACTCTGAAGAGCAAAGGAGACCATAAATAGTTGAGAACAAAGTACTATCTAAATCAAAATGCAAATGTCACTCCTGTCTCTCCCTTTGTATTTTCAGCAGCAGAGTTGTTTGCCAAAGAGTGACTATCAAGGCCTTCACTAATGTTCTAAGGAGGGCACAATGTTCCACTCCCAAAACAATGTAACCCAGTGGTTTTCAGCAAGGAAACTGCTAAATTTCCCAAAGGAATTCCTTACTGTTAGTAAGACTTCTGAAAATTAACTAGTGAGAATAAATGCCACGAAATCTAACATTAGTATTCTGAACTGAATTTGCTTATGCCAGACCTCTAAACAATAAATTGTGTTCTGCTGTGTTGCTATGCCCGTTCATGAGGCAAGCCATTTTAAAGTAAAGCATCTTGGAGATTCCAAAAGAGCAGAATGGGGAAGGGGTTGTACTGCTTTAGGCTAGGGGAAAACAGCAAAAAAAAAAAAAAAGTGGATGAAGTATATTCTTAGGGGAGACTTGGAGAGCAAACTACAGGAAGTGCTGAGGAAGGAAGAAGGATACCGTGGATCATGGTGGAAGGCCCACGTGGACGCAAAGCAGCAAGCACAGACACAGCACATGACCCCAGGAGCTGCATCAGCTTTGGAGAGTGAGTGAGATCAGAGTGCAGAAACCTGTGACACTGGTGATCTAGCTGGAGGGAGAGCCCTGGTCGACTGCGCTGTCTGTGAATGCAGCCTGGAGTCCTGAGTGCAACAGGGCACCCACTTACCCAGTGGGACAAAGGGGCACATTTCCCTCTCCCCGTTTCCCCACAAACAGGTGGCTGAGAGAGGGCAGGTGGAATTATAGGTGTAAGTAGCAGCTGAGCAGGTCTCGGGCATGTGCCCAGCAGCTGCAGTTCAGCTGGAGGATGGTGGGGAGAAGGTGCCATTGTGAAACAAGGAGGGGCTTTGGCGAGTGACTCTTGGTGCACGTGTGGGATCCAGGGATATTGCCAGAGAGCAAAGTCCCTGTTCCCCACTGACCTTGAGTCTGGCTGGGAGGATTGATGGGGGCTGTGTACCCAGGTAAAACTGTGAGGTACTCCCAGGCACTCAACATATCAGAGGCTCAGGGGCTCAAAACCCAAGGTGGAGCAGCCACAGAGAGCTGGTTCTGGGAACATGGCTCTCTCTCCGTGGATGGGTGGAGCAGATCTTCTGCATGCCATGGCTCAGAGAGCTTCCCCCAGGTATCCCAGTTGGATTCAGAGGCCCAAAGACATGGGCCATCTTCTCTGCTTTCCCACGTGGGAGATGTGAATGAAGCTCCTGGTTGCTGAGTTCAGTCTAGCTCAACCATGGCATCCAGGATTCTCCTGGTAAACTTCTCTTTGGGGGAGGGTGTGTGGCACAGTGATGACACCACCTGTTGGGATGCTCCCATCCCATAACAGAGGGCCTGAGTTCAAGTCCCAGCTCTACTTGCAGTTCCAGTTTCCTGTAATACCCACCCTGGGAGACAACAGGTAGTGGCTGAAGTTGTTGGGTCCTTGCCACTCACATGGACCCAGGTTGAATGCCTGGGTCCTGGCTTCTGCCTGGCCCAGCCATGGATGTTGTGCATACTTGGAGGGCTAAACAAGGATGGACGTTCTCCCCATCTGGCCCTTTCTCTTTTGTGTGTCCCTGCCTTTCCAATCAATAAAAAAATTGGGGGCCAGTGTTGTAGCATAGTAGGTTCAGTCACCGTTTGTAATGGCAGCGTCCCATATGGGCACTGGTTTGTATGCAGGCTGTTCCACTTCTGATCAGGATTCTCCCGAATATCCTGGGGAAAGCAGTGGCAGATGGAACAAGTGCTTGGGGCCCTGCCACCTTCACGGGAGACCGGGAAGTCTCGACTCCTGACTCCTGACTCCCGGCTTTGGCCTGGTCCCATAGTGGTTCATGCAACCACCTGGGGAGTAAACCAGTTGGATGGAAGATCTCTCTATGTCACAGTCTCTGTATCTTGGGCTTTCAAATAAATACCTAATCATAAAAAAAAATAAAAAAATTGTTTGGCACACTGGTCTTCCCCTGTCCCAAAGGGCGTCCAACCTCAGGCCAGCAGGACTGCTGCTTTCCTGCATTCTGTCCTGTGAAGTTTGCTCTTTTTACTGGCGAGGACTTGAGCATGGGTTTCTTGCTCTCCCCTCAGCACCATGTCCAGGAAACCAAACTGCTGGTTTTGACAGACACCTTTACCCACCCTGGTAGCACCACAAGCTCAGGGTGGGGAGGAAAGGGACACAGCTCCAGGCCAGCACACCACCTTCTCCCACTCTTCTTTCCTGGGCAGTCAGCAATTCTCCATCAATCAGTGCTGTCTGTTTTGTGGTTGGTTGGTTTGGGGGTTTTTTGGTGGATTCCCAGAGGCCTTAAAAGTTGTTGGTTTTGTCATGTTTTATAGCTGTCGGACATATTGCTGGGGAAAGCCAGACATGAGCCTCCTTCAGCACCGGACACAGCCTAGGATCCTGCTGGGCTCAGGACCTCCCCTCCCATCTCTAGTCCCACGAGGTGAGTCGGCCCTCTTCAGTGAAGCTCTCCACTCAAAACCAGGCCTCCCTCAGCTGGCAAGGGGAGGTGCCAAAGATTGTATGTATGCCTGTGGGGGTCCCAACACTGTCTCAGGCAGTAGTACCCAGTGTGGTGTGCACGTGAACTAGCAGATGGAACACCACCTTCCATCCCTAGGGTGTGCAAACTCTTACACTCACTGACACTTCACAAGGGAAGTGTCTTTTTGGAGCTTCTGCTCAGCTAAGCTGCCACGTTGGAGCACTATTTCAAGTCTCAGCTGCTCCACTTCCCATCCAGTCTTCTGCTTATGTGCCTAGGAATACAGCAGATCCAGGCCCAAGTACTTTGGCCCTACCACCCATTTAGGAGAGTAGTAGGAGTTCCCTGCTCCAGGTTCCATCCTGGCCCCTACCTGACTGTTGGGGTCCTGTGGGAAGTGAACCAGAGGAAGGAAGACCTCTCTGTCACCACCTCTTTTGCTCATTTCTGTTTCCAATGCATAAATCTTTGTGGAAAAATTACACACCACATGGTAGTTTTCAGATCAATGTGGAACCTTTATTTATAAACACAGGCAATGAGTTGGATCTGGTTCCAGGGATTCAAACCCTTGCCATTTCACAAGGGAGGGAAGGCCAGGTTGGGTTGAGAAATACCCAACACTCTCCCCACGTACCCATGGTGCAGCATGAATGCTACAGAGAGCCCCCCATTGCCCCCCCAGTCTCCTCTTCCACTGCTCTCCCCATTGTCCTGGATCCAGTGCCCCATTCCATGCCTGCCACCACCATCACCCCGTGTTCCCCTTCTCCCTCCAAATTCCACAAGAAGCCCATGCTCAGCCTCCCTCGGCCCACCCTCAGCCCACCCTCACCCTCCCTCGGCCCACCCTCGCCCACCCTCGCCCTCCCTCGGCCCACCCTCGCCCTCCCTCGCCCTCCCTCGGCCCACCCTCGCCCACCCTGGCCCACCCTCGCCCTCCCTCGGCCCACCCTGGCCCACCCTCGCCCTCCCTCGGCCCACCCTCGACCACCCTCGCCCTCCCTCGCCCTCCCTCGGCCCCACCCTCGCCCTCCTCCGGCCCTCCTCTGCCCATCCTTGGCCCACCCTCGCCCTCCCTCGGCCCACCCTCGCCCTCCCTCGCCCTCCCTCGGCCCACCCCCCTCGCCCACCCTCGCCCTCCCTCGGCCCACCCTCGACCACCCTCGCCCTCCCTTGGCACTCCCTCGGCCCACCCTCGCCCCACCTCGCCCTCCCTCGGCCCTCCCTCGGCCCTCCCTCGCCCACCCTCGCCCACCCTCGCCTTCCCTCGGCCCACCCTCGGCCCTCCCTGGCCCTACCTCGGCCCACCCTCGCCCACCCTCGCCCTCCCTCGGCCACCCTCGACCCACCCTTGCCCTCCCTTGGCCCACCCTCGCCCTCCCTCGCCCTCCCTCGCCCTCCCTCGGCCCACCCTGGCCCACCCCTGAACCACTCTGTTTGTCCCCATCCTCCATTACCCTGCCCGTGCCCATACCCCCATCCTGCCTTCTCCCTTCCCTCACCCATGTCCACCACTCCCTTGCTCCCCAGGCCCTCTCCCCACAGACCTGCTCTCCCTGCTCTGTCCCTGCCCTCGGCGCCTGTCCCTGTGCCACTGTGCTGGCAGCAAGGCCTAATAACTGCCACGGAGGATGACATCACAGAAGTCTGGCCTGTGCCAACATTCTGTGCAGGTGAGGTCATTGCCCTCAGTGGGACTGTGAGCCACGTGTGGAGCACACTCGCTCTTGTGCACTGGCCACTCTCTCCACATTGGTCCACTTCCCAGCCCATCACGGGGGTGGCAGGTGTAGACGGGCTCTTACAGGGCTCATAACCAATGGAACCTAGTTTTAAACTAACCCCAGAGCAGGGATGAGTAAGTGTACAGCATTCCTTCAAATCAATCACAACAGAGCTGCCCCTTCTCTGCTCGCAGGTCTTCCTCAGGCTGGGTAAGAGGTCAGTGCTGTGGGCTTTACCCTCAATTGACAGTCACCAGAAAACGACAAATTGAACATACCACAGTGGGACAAGGACACTGGCAGATGAACCTTGCCCAAATCTTTTATGTTATCTAAGATCTTAGCTAAGGACAGTATGATGTTTCAGTTGCCAAGGTATTCTAAACTCTATTTCCCTATTTTCATACACATGAGTAGACCCATGATGCATTTAATTAGACCCATGATGCAGTGTGTGTAAACTGCTTGGGCAATCTTTGGGCCCAGCAGTGAGAGCACCAGGATGAGACCTGGGGTTTCCATCCAGGCTCCACTCTGGTTTCCAGCTTCATCCTGGGGCTCCAGCAACTTCAGACACCTAGGAGGAGCGTGCGCTCTCGCTCCCTCCTTCTTAAATAAATAAAGAAAAAATTCTTAGAAAATGAAATCTTCAAATTATAGAGTCTAGGCAGATTGAACATCAATGCTGGCCCCGGCTCCACACTGGCCCAATGCCAAGGGAAGGGCCTAGAACAATTGGAGCAGTGGGCAGTGGAGCAAACTGCCCATGGACAGGCACCTGCCCAAGAGTCACCGTGCCCGGCCACTAGAGTACCTTCAGCTGCCAGGCCACACCCCCCACCCTCTTGGAACCATTTCTCCCTCCCCACCCCAAGGGGTCCCACCCAGGTCTCTGCCCCTCAGTGACTTTGGGGGAGGGGCTCATATACACGGACCCAGTGCCAAGAGGGACAGCAGGTTCTGCCACCCACACCCACCCGTTGAAACCTCCAGAGTCAGCAACTGGGACTGTGTTGTGGTGTGGGAAGCTGCCTTCCAGGATCTGGGCTGCTGGGGGTCCCTGGTGCATCTGTCAGCGAGGCCAGGCCCTCCTGGGGAGCTTCCACAACCACAGTGGGGGAAGGGGCACAGTTAGAGGGAGACAGAAGCCACAGAAGCTGACACTGTGCCCCAACCCCTGTAGCCTCTGTATCCCTGCCCCACCTGCCCTGGCCTGGCTGGCCCCTGCAAAACCTGGTTTCTCCCCAGGAATGTTTGTTCCCGTTCTCTGCTGGGGGAGTTTTTTCATGGCGGGGCCTCATCCTCGACGAAGCTGTGGGACTCAGAGCCAGGCTCTGTGTGGCCCGACGATCCTGCTGACCCCGGCCTCCTGCAGACCATGGGCCGCCATACCCCTGGCCGCATTTCCAGCTTTTCAAGTGGGAAGAAACCACCCCGCGTCCCAGGACTTGCACTTCTGTGGGCCATCCTCAGCAAGGTCAGTGAAGTGTCTACAGCCGCCTGGACCATTTCTATGAAGAACGCTGGTTGAAGCCTTGGCTGAGGGGGTCCAGGGGTGTGGAGTTGGGGGTGAGAACCCTGCAGGGAGAGAGGTGGTCACTGGTGTCCAGGAGCCAGCTAAGGTAGCCATGGGCCTCCCTAACCTGTCCTCGCCCACAGTGTTTCACGGTTGGTTTGGCATTTGTGGCCTCAGATCACGGGCTCCTTCGCTGATAGGTATGTACCCTGCAAGCATGTGGGCCCCACCCTTAGGAACCTGCTGGGCGCTAGAGGCTGGGAGCTGCCAGAGGACAGGCGATGGCCTCAGGAGCTGGTAGACACTGGGGGCAGCTGCTGAGCGTGGGTGCCCTGAAGTACGCTTAAAGGAAGAGGAGCCCAGGTCCCTCCTATTCCCTATGGAGTTTTGAATGCGGCTTCTGGAACACTGTCCCCTCTGGAGCTCCTGAGTTTGTTTTACATGCAGCCAGTTGTAGCCTGGCTCTGAGCTCTGCAGTCACACATATGCAGCGCACACACACACTCAGTCCAGAAGTGAACTCGGAATGGCTGTGCCGGATGCATACTTCAGCCCACAGGCCCTTCCTGCACATGCTTCAACTGGCATGGGCTGGGGGGTGTGTGGGACAGACCCCCTCAGTGAGCCTGCGCAGCAGGCGGGTCGCTGGCCCTAGTGGAGGGGTGCTGAGGAGTGGGGCAGTGGGCTCGGGGGGTCCATGGTCTCCACTCAGAAATGCACCCTGAGAAGGGACCCAGCAAAGCGCAAAGGACCACCAGCACCTGTTGTGGACACAGGTGACTGCAGATGTCCAAAAGGGCCCAGGTTAAGGGGCTGCCTCCCCCCGCCAATCTCCTTCTGATGCTCACCTTGGGAGGACGCAGGGCCATGCTGGTACCGGCACTGGAGAACCCAGGACCCTAAGTCTCCACCCACACCCCATGGCTGCTTTCATCCTGGTGAGTGTCGGAGACCCTGAAGGGCCAGGCCATGGTCCAGGCAGAGGCCTGTCCTCAGTGCGCTGGCCCTGGCCTCTTGTTCCCTCTCTCTGGATGTGTTTGTGTCTTGCACTGGAGGAGAAGCAGCCATGCAGGTCCTGAGCAAGAGTCAGAGCTGGCCTGGTCAGGAGTCTTCCTCCTGGCCCAGACCCACCTGGGACCAGGAACGTTCTCAGTGCCAAGGGGTTCCCACATTCCTACAAAACCAATGTGAAACCCAGTCCTCGCAGCTGCCCCTTAGGGCCCCAGGACTCCATGTCCTGAAGGCAGGAGGGCAGAGCACATTGCATGCCCCTGGACTCTGCTCAGAGCCCCCAGCGTCAGAGTTGTGCCCACCCTGGTGGCTCCTGGGTGCAGTTACTGCTTCTGTTTTCCCCTGTGGACCACAGCAGGCAGGCCACCCCCTTCCTGGAGTAAGATCACCTGTGTGGACCGTGACGGTGATGTTAGTGTGTGTGTATGTGTGTGTTCTGTGTGCATGTAGGTTCACATGTGTATGTGTACTGTGCAAGTGTGTGGTGTGCACATGCATAGTTAATGGCTTCACCCTGGCCTGGCTCTTGTTGCTGTAGCCATTTGGGGAATGAACCAGCAGGTGGAAGATCTCTCTCTCTCTGCAAATCTGCATCTTAAATAAAAAATATCTTAAAACCCTAAAACCCCACCATCTTCAGCACTGGGGACGCCTGTCAGAGCTCTAGGAGCTCAGGCACTTGATGTTTGGTGGAATCAGGGACAGCGAGGTGGCACAGCTGGGCCTACAGCCAACACTGGCATGGCCTTCGGGTGCCAGCTTGAGTCCCAGCTGTTCCCAGCTCCTGTCTTGGGTGCTTGTGAGCCGGGAGAGGAGGCTGTGGAGTGGTGCAGGTGCTTGGGATTCCTGGCTGCCCCAGGTCTGTCCACGTCTGGACCTCCCCTCGCCCTCATCAGCACCAGTAATGCTGTGTCCTTGGTCCCTGGCATCTCTAGGGCCTCTCAGGTGATTCTGGGTCCTTAACATGGGGTCTGAAGCTGCTCTTACCGTTGGCTTCCACATGGCTGCTGTCTGTTGCTTTTGTGGCCACCATGGCTCAGCCATGGCCACATTCCCTGAAGAGTGGTTTAGGGGTGGGGCTTTTGCATCCTCTGACCCCTGCCTTCCCAGGTGTGTTCACGGGGCAGCCAGGACTAGAACAAGTGCCTATGATGATGCCACTCCACCCACCACAGCCAGCACTGATCCCTCACCTCACCTTCCCAACCTGTGTTCAGCTCAGTGGACAGGAGAGGGCAACAGTGTGGGCCTCTCTGGTCAGGTGGCCATGACAGGAGGAGGTGTCGAGCCAGGCCTGCTTTGTGTCTAGCTCTAGTTTTCAGGGTGGCAGCTCCCACTGGTGGGCACCTGACCAGCCACCTCCTAGTGGTCTCCAGGGATTGCCTGTTGGGGGATGTGGAAGGGAGTTCTGGCCCCCATGGCATCTGCCACCCTGTCACTTGCAGCTCTGTGGGAGATGGGTGAGGGCGCCCTCTTCTGAGCAGGACCCAGAAGGGAGCTGTAGAGATAGAGGTGCAGGCTGAGTGGTGGAGTTAGGCATGGCTGGCAGGTTTATAAATGAAGACCTGGGGTCCTCATGGACCTAGATTGAGACCAGGACCTCCCCAGGCCCTGCCTTCCAGTGGGAGTCTGCAGCCCAGCCTGCACACACCATGCTACCCTCCCCTGTCCCCCACCTGTCTTCCCCCCCTCTCCACCTGCCCCTTCCACAGGTGCTTCAGGTGCCTCAGGCGCACGGCCCCAAAGGCCATTCTCTCAGGTTCCTCCAGCCCCCAGGGCGTCGTCTTCCTACAGTTTTCCATAGCAGCTGCACTAATTTACATATTTAACAGCAGTGTGTAGTGTTCCCCTTTTCCCACTTCCACCTTATCATTGTGACTCTGTCCTTTGGAGCTTAACCATTTTGAAAGGGTTAGCTCATATCATTGTGGTTTGGATGGCATTTCCATGATGGTGTGATATGAGCATTTTTTTCATAGAATTGTTGGCCATTTGTTTTTTTTAATTTTTTTTTGACAGAGTGGACAGTGAGAGAGAGACAGAGAGAAAGGTCTTCCTTTGCCGTTGGTTCACAATGGCTGCTGTGGCCGGTGCACTGTGGTTGGCACACCGAGCTGATCCGATGCCAGGAGCCAAGTGCTTCTCCTGGTCTCCCATGCGGGTGCAGGGCCCAAGGACCTGGGCCATCCTCCACTGCACTCCCGGGCCAAAGTAGAGAGCTGGCCTGGAAGAGGGGCAACCGAGACAGAATCCGGTGCCCCGACTAGGACTAGAACCCGATGTGCCGGTGCCGCAAGGTGAAGGATTAGCCTAGTGAGCCGCAACACTGGCTGACAATGTGGTTTTGTTCTTCAATTATTTTGATATAATTTATCATGTGTATTAATTTGAAAATGTGGAACATCATGGCATTTCTGGGATGAATTCCAACTGAAGGTTATACATGAGCTTTTGCGTGTGTTTGGTTTTGTTTGGCTAGAATTTTGTTGAGAATGTTTGCATCTTTTTCATTTAGAATCTAGGCCAGCAGTTTTGTTACATTCAATGTTAGCTATCTTTTGTGGTCAGAATAATTCTGGCCTCACAAAAAGTGTTTGTTAGAGTTGAATTCTATTCCATCCAGCTCAATATTTTGAAATAGCTGGAAAAGTATTGGAGTTGCTTTTTAAATCTTCAACCTCCTTGGTTACCTTTACTCAAAGGTATTTAAATTTTAGTAGCTATTGTGAATGGAATGGATTTGAAGTTGTCTCTCAGCCATGACATTGTGTGTATACAAATTTTATTGATTTTTGTGTTGATTTTCTATCCTGCCACTTTTCCAAACTCTGAGTTCTAATAATCTTGTACTGGAGTTTCTTGGTTCCCCCATTTAAAAAATCATGTCATTCTGAAGGAGGGATACTTTGACTTCCTCCTTCCCAATTTGTGTCCATTTGATTTTTTTTCTTGCCTAATGGCTCTGTCTAAAACTTCCAGAACTATCTTGAATAGCAATAATAAGGGTGCATCCTTGTCTGATTCCAGATCGTAGTTGGGAATGCTTCCAACTTGTCCCCATTCATAAGATGCTATCAGGCTGTTTGACATAAATTGCCTTGATTGTTGAGGAATGTTCTTCTACAGTCAGTTTCCTTAAGGCTTTCTGAAAGGATGTTGCATTTTTCCAGCTGTTTTCATCTATTTGAAATAATATATTTTTTAAAAATATTTATTTAAATGAAAGGCAGACTTATTGAGTGACCATTCATTGGCAAACAGTACATTGTAGTAATTCCCGATTTTTTTTTTTTATTTATTGGGTTTCTGTTATTACAGTTTGTTTTTGTTTATGATTTTACTGATTGGGTCTTATTCCTGTTTTTTTGTTGTTTGTTTGTTGGAGATTTTCAGCAAGTTTGTAAAAAAATTTTTTTAATCAGCTTTTCATTTCAGTGATCTTTTGTAATGTTTTTGCTTCAACTTTGTTTATTTCTTCTCAATTTCCATGATTTCTGTCATCCTACTAATTTGGAGTTTGATATGTTGGTTTTCCAGGTTTTGTGATGCATTGAAAAGCTCATTTATTTGATGCCTTTCCAATATCTTGTGGTAGGCACAAGTTGTTATAAAAGTGTCCTCTTAACATTGCATTGCTGTGTCCCATACGTTTTGCTATGTTGTACTTGTATCTTCATCATTTCCAGAAATTTCTTGATTTCCATTTTGATTTCTCCTACGACCCACCATTCATTCAGGAGCATGTCGTTCGGTCTCCATGTGTTTGCATATGTTCTGGAGTTTCTTGAGTTGTTGATTTTCCATTTCCTTGAATTTGGTCATAGAATATGCGTGAAATGATTTCAGTTACTGAGTTTACTAAGCTTGTTTTATGGCCTATCATATGTTGTGTCCTAGAGAAAGTTCCAGGGACTGAGAAGAATGTGTATTCCGCAAGTGTGGGATGAAAAGTTCTGAGTTAGGACTTCCAGCAAGGCAGTCTGTTCCCAGGGACACAGTGATGAGCGACTGAGTCACCTACAATTGTGACATAGGGGGGGCGAGGAAATGACCAAGAGAAGACAGTGCAGGTGTTCAAAAGATTTGTTTTTATTTAAGAGATCCAAATTCCATGCATTTCATAAATGCAATTTAGGTACACAGTGATTGTCCCACCCTACCTCTCTGTCCGGAGCGCAACACATCGTGCATTGGTTGTCTGACTCCTGGCAGCAGCCCTGGGACAGACAAGGGCAAGGATGCTGGGCGTGTATCTGCCGTTCAGTACCCTGACCACGGGCAGTTTGGCAGAGCGCTGCACCATGCAGGAGTGGCTGGGTGTCAGCCTGGAGGTCTAGAGAGCTCCACACTGCCCTGAGCTTCTGATGGGCTGCATTGGGAGCAACGATGCCCTTGGAGCGCATTTGGTCATGGTGAGCACAGGGCGGCCATGTCAGGCTGGGGCTCAGGTCGCTGCCCCTGGTTAAAAGGCAGTGCGGCCTCTTTACTGACGCTGTGTATTCTGGGAGGAAGGGGCAGGTGTTAGTTGGATGGCGCTTGCGCAGTAGGCCTGGGGAAGAAGTAGGAGATGTCCGCGGGAGTGGCGTCGTGGCAGGCTGGCGGTGTTATTGGCGGCACTGGCACGGGAGGCTTGGAGAGTGCGGGAGGGATTTGCTGCTTTTGAGATTATGGACAGTGAAATGCCCAGGGCCTGCCTCAAAGGATGTGGGATCCGGGGCTTCCCAGCGGTGTTCCCCCCAAATGCACAGGTTTGGAGGCAGTGGGGTGGGTGGGAGCTCAACTGTGAGGAAGCCGAGACGCTGGTGTCAGCCTCCCCTCCCCCACGGAGGACATGGATGTGAACCTGTACCCATAGTGGACTAGTGTTCTCTAGTAATTTGATGATACTCAGTTTTAGATTTTGTTCCTTGAAGTGTTTTTAGTTGCTTTTTGTATAAGGTGTAAGGTATCGGGCTTCTTTCAGAGTTCTGCATGTGGAGGTCCAGTTTTCTCAGGACCATTTTTTGAAGAAACTGTCCTTTGCACCTGGGATTGATCTTTAGCACTTTTTAAAGACAGTAGTTGTAGAGTATGTGTGTGCGTTATTCAGGTGTTTCTTTTCTGTTCCATTGTTCTATGTCATTTTTTTTTTGCCTGTACCAAGCTGTTTTGATAACTGCCCTGTTCTGTGTCTTACAATCTGTTATTGCGACGCTTTGAGTTTTGTCAATGTTGTATAAGGTTGATTTCAGTATTCGGATGTTCTGTGTTTCATATGAATTTTAGCATGTTTTCTTTCCATCTGGGCAAAATGTATTTGTCCTTTGGTTGGGATCCCATTGTGTCTCTAAATTGCTTATGGTAGAATGGAAATTTCATGTTGTCGATTTTACCAATGAATGAACATGGCAGATTTTCCATTTTTGTGTGTCTTCTTCCATTTCTTTAATGTTTATTAATTTTCATTGTAGACATTTTCATGGATATGAAACTGGACACCGAGTTGACGCTGAAGTTCAGCTGCTGGGTAATCTTCCATTTCTGGAGCTTGCTCAGCTTCCTTGTAAAACCTGGCTGGGCCTTTGCCCTGGACAGGAGCAACTGGTTAGTAGACGTGGCTGCATCCTGTAGATGGCAGCCTTTGGGCCAAGGGGGAGAGAAGGGAAGGGAAGGGACCTCTGTTTCCTGGAGTTGGGCTGGCGAGGCTGAGAGCAAGGTGGACTTCCAAGCTTTGGGAAGGAGGGTCAAGTGGGGAAGCCCTATAGACATGTGGAGACAGAATGTGGGGGCCTAGCATTCCTAGAATAGAGTGTTGGCCACAGAGACAGAGGTGAATAAGATGTTGGTGAATGTATTCCCTCGGGCGCTGCAGAGAATTAGGGGCCAAAGAACATGTTAAGAAGGGAAGACTGTGTCTCCAGGCAGTGGGAGGGAGACCTGGGAGGAAAACTGCATGTGTTGACTCAGAGTACAAAAGATAAGAAGTCTGCTTTGGAGAGACGTGGTAATAGTTGTTATGTTTTAGATTTTCAGGCTAAGGACGATGGGATTGCAAGTATTCATGCAGGGAGTGGAGGGTTAGATGCCATGGGAAGAACCTGGTTCATGCAAGGTTTGGGGAGCTGAAAACAGGTTATTTCTGTATGTCACCATCCAGTGATAGAAAGGGAAAATAGAAGGGTTGCATGGAGGAAGGCAGGTGACTTTGAGGAGAGTTGTAATAGGGAGGAGCTGGTAGAACTACTTGTAAGAACTAGTGGAGCATCAGAGTGTTAGATCCGGGACAGGGCCTGGGAGAAACCTTAGTGAAAGTGAGGGAAAGGGTATCAGGAGGTGGTCAGAGGGACCTTTCAGAAGGTACTGGGGAATGGGTGCTGAGTTAATCAGGAAATTTGACCAAAGTGTCCCCACTACCAAGAGATGGAGAAGATCTTAGTTGAAATAAGATAAGTGTGATAGGGGGCTTAGGTACATGGAGAACCTGACTTAGCCTAGGAATGAAGTTTGTGGCTTGTATTCAGTTTGTAGAAGTCAGAATTATAGCAGAGGACTTTCTCTTGGTAAACGTGTTTTTCTTGGGTTTCAAAGGAGTGTCTGTGATGTGCCCACATTTGTTCTAGTTACTTAAGGTAATGCAGAGAGCATCATGTGGGTCCCTGAAAAAGTTTGTGGAAAGAGGGATTTGTAAGGTTGTTTCACTGTGTGTGTGTGTGTGTGTGTGTGTGTATAGTATTATTCTTACCCATTCAACGATGATGTTAGAAGACTTCGTCAATTTCTTGTTTTCGCTGCTGTGAAGCATACTGCAATAAATATTGTGGTGACGTATCTCTCTGATACAATATGTTCATGTGTTTTGGGTTATAGCCAGTAGAGGGATTGCTCCATATCGTATGGCAAGTCTGTCTGGTTTTTTAAGAAATCTCCATACCGTTTTCCACAGCGTCTGCACTAATTTACATTTTTACCACCAGTGGGTAAGTTTTTCCCTTTTCCCACATCTTCCTCCTCATTGTAACTCTCCGTCCTTTGGGTTTTAGCCACTATGTACGTGTGAGCTGATATCTCATTGTGGGTTGGATTTGCATCTCCCTGATAGCTTGTGATGTTGCGCATTTTTCCTGTATTTCTTGGCCATCTGTATATCGATGGGGAACTGTCTGTTGAGCTCCTTTGGCTACTTCATAACTGGATTGGTTGGGTTTTTTATTGGTGTTTTTTTTTTAAGTTGCAGATGAATTCCTGATATTAACCCTTTTCATATAGGTTGCTGACAAGTATCTTTTGGTCATTCTTGTGAATGTCTCTTCACTCTATGATGATTTCCTTCGCTGTGCAAAGCTTTTCATTTCATTTGATCCCATTTGTTTGGTTTTGCTTTAGCTGCCTGGGCTTTGAGGGTCTTGTCTAAGAGTCATCCCCTATTCCAGTGTCTTGGAGCTTTCTTTGTATTTTCTTTTTATTTTTTTTTTATTTTTTTTTGACAGGCAGAGTGGACAGTGAGAGAGAGAGACAGAGAGAAAGGTCTTCCTTTGCCGTTGGTTCACCCTCCAATGGCCGCGCGGCCGGCGCGCTGCGGCCAGCGCACCGCGCTGATCCGATGGCAGGAGCCAGGAGCCAGGTGCTTTTCCGGTCTCCATGGGGTGCAGGGCCCAAGCACCTGGGACATCCTCCACTGCACTCCCTGGCCACAGCAGAGGGCTGGCCTGGAAGAGGGGCAACCGGGACAGAATCCGCGCCCTGACCGGGACTAGAACCGGTGTGCCGGCGCCGCTAGGTGGAGGATTAGCCTAGTGAGCCGCGGCGCCGGCCTGTATTTCCTTCAAAAAGCTTCACAGTCCTGGGTCATAGATTTAGGACCGATCCATTTTGAGTTGATTTTTTATTTTATTGGAGTTATGAATCTAATTTCAATCTTCTACACAATACATCCTTTTTTGGCAATACCACTTGTTGAAGAACTCCAATGGATGGTCTGAGACCTTTTGTAAAAATATGGTATTGAACATATTTTGATTAATAGTGGAGCTCGCCTTGTTTCTTCCATTGGTCTGTGTGTCACTTTTTATGCAAGTGCTATGATATTTTGTTTAGTGTCATTTGTAGAATGCTTTGAATCAGGTGTGAGGTATCCAGGCTAACTTTGTTTCACTTTTGCTCAGAAACACCTTATCTTCTGTATCTTCTGTGATTTTGTTGAATTATAGGTTTGTGGTATATAATTCTGTAAAAAACGTCATTGGTGTTTTGATGAAAATTTAATTGAATCTTTAGGTAGCATTAGGCAAGGTAGAGATTTTAATATACTGATTCTTCAAATCCACCAAAAGAGACATTTCCACTTTTGGTCCTTGGTGATTTCGTTCATCAGTGTATGGTGATTTCATTTAGTGCTCTTTTACTTCTTTGGTTAAATTTTTCCTAAACTTTTTATTTATGTGGTTATTGTCCTTGGGATATTTATTGATGCTCTGTCAGTGAGTTCATCATTAATGTATAAAAACTGCTGCTTACACACTATGTTTATTCATAACCTGAAACTTCACTTAATTGTTTGACCCGTTCTAGCAGTATTTTTGGTGGATTGTTATAGTTTTTTCTGGTACCATATCATGCCACCTGTAAGCTTTAGAATTTCACTTTCTCTTTTATAATCTAGGTGCTGTTTTTTCTTTCTTCTCCTTTCTTTCTCTTGTGAAAATTTACTGTACTACATTCAGTAAGAATTTTAAAAGGGGATATCCTTGTGTTGTTACATGTTTGACCAAAATGCTTTCACTTTTTGCCATCCAGCATGACATTGGCTGTTGAGCTGTGATACATAGCCTTTAAGATTTGATGCCTATTCCTTTTATACCTACTTTGTGGAAGTTTTTTTTTTTTTTATCATGAATGGGATTGGATCTTTCAGGTTATTTCTCTATCTAATGAGATGATAATGTGGGTTTTTTTAATAAAAACATTTTTCATTTATTTCTAAGAATTCGAGAGAAGGCTGGCAACGTGTTCACTTGGCTAATCCTCCGCCTGTAATGCCGGCATCCCATAGGGCACCAGGTTCTATTCCCAGCTGTCCTCTCCAGTCCTGGATACCCAAGTATCCAGGACTCTGCTGTGGCCCAGAAGGGCATTGAAGGATGGTCCAAGTGCTTGGGCACCTGCAGCCACGTGGGAGAACAGGAGGTGGCAGCTGGCTCCTGGCTTTGGATTGGTGTAGCGCTGGCCATAGTGGCCATTGGGAGGTGAACCAACAGAAGGAAAACCTTTGTCTCTGTCTCTCCCTCTCACTGTCTAACTCTGTCAAAAAAAATCAATAAAAAAAAAGAATTAGAGAAAACAGAACAAGTGCGGTGAACGAGATTGAGAGAGTATGAGAGTGAGAGGGAGAGAGGTCTTCCATTGGCCAGTACACTCCTGGAATGACCGTGATGGCCAAACTGAGCCAATATGAAGTCAGGATCCAGGACTTCTTCTGGGTGTCCCATGTGGCTGCAGGGGCCCAAGGAATTGGGGACATTCTCCACCGCTTCCCAGGCACATTAGGAGGTAGCTGGATTGGAAGGGGCAGCAGCCAGAACACACACTGGCACCGACATGGAAAGACAGCACTGCATGCCGTGGCTTAACGTGCTGTAACACAGCACCAGCCCTGCTTGTCTGACTCCGGGCAGCAGCCCCGGCCACCGGCTAGGCCAAGGATACTGGGCAGGTATCCTCCATTCAGTACCCTGACCGTGGGCAGTTGTCAGAGAACTGCACCAACGGCAGTGTCTGGGTGTCAGCCCGAGGTCTAGAGAGCTCCATATGCCCTGAGATTCTGGTGGGCTGGATGGGAATGGACGATGTCCGTGGAGCATTCTGATTGTGATGAGCACAGGGCCGCAGTGCATTTAGAAGTAAGACCACATCCCTGGTTCATGAAGGTAGCTCGGCCTCCTCCACTGACACTGTGTTTCCGGGAGGAAGGGGAGGTGTTAGTTGGATGGCACTGCACATTTAAGCTAACAGGACAGAGATGCCCAGGGGGCTGCCTCAAAGGAGACGGGATCCCATGACTTCCCAGCAGCGTTCTCCCCGGAAATCCACAGGTTCAGAGGCAGCGGGGGTGGGCAGCGGCTCAGCCATGAGGAAGCCAAGAAGCGATGTCTGCCTCCCCTCCTCCTCCCAGAGGACCTGGATGTGAAACTAACCAGAGTGGACGTGAAGCTCAGCTGCCAAGTAATCTCCCACCAGAGAGACTGCACAGCTTCCTGCTCAATGCCAGCTGGGCCTTCTTCTGGAGAGGAGCAACTGGTGAGTAGATGTGGCTGCCCCAGTAGTGGCCATGTCTGGATGCACAAGGGGAAGGGAAGGGAAAGCCGTTCCCTGGGGTTGGGCGGCCCAGGCTGACAGTGATGTGCCCTTACCCCGTGGTAAGGAGGGTCATGTGGGGCAGCCCCACAGGCATGGGGAGAAATGTAGGGGCCTGGTGGGCTTCAGTAGATTGAAGAGTGGAGACAGGGATGGATAGGATGTTGGGGAATGAGTTCCCCCGGGCACTGTAGAGAATTAGGGGCCAAAGAACATGGTAATAGGGGAAGACTTGGGTATCCAGGAATTGGGAGGGAGACTGGAGGACAAGTGTGTGTGAGTCAGAGTACAAACCCAAGAAGTCTGGTTTGGAGAGGTGTGATAATAAGTTTGGGTTTTAGATTCTGGCCCTAAGAATGACGGGATGGAAGTATTAGTGTGATGGTGATTGGATTGTTAGATGCCTGGGGCATGCAAGGTGTTGGGAGCTGAAATCAGGTAATTTCTGTATATTGCCACTCTGTGATATAGACAGGGAAATTGAAGGAGTGTATGGAGGAGGTCAGGTGACTTTCAGTAGAGTTGTAATAGGGAGGAGCTTGTAGGTCTACTAGTAGAACTGGTGGAGTCTCCAAGTGTTAGACCTGGGACAGGGCCTGGGCAACAACCTTAGGAAAAGTGAGGGTAAGAAAATGGTGAGGGGTATAGTGTGGTCTTTCTTAGGGACTATGGTATGGGTGCACGGTTAATTAGGAAACTTTGACAAAGTTCTCTGGAATACCAGGGATGGGAGAGGCTTATCTGGGAGAAAACTGGGTTGGTGTTGTGCTTAGGAAGACAAGAACCTGATCTAGGCTGGACTGAAATTTGAGGCTTTAGGGAAGCTTATAGAAGTCTGAATTTGGGCAGAGGACTCTCTTGGTAAAGGTGTATTTCTTGTCTTTCAAAGATGTTTCTGTTATGTGCCAGCATTTGTCCTCATTATTTAATGTAATGCAGGGGCCAACGTGAGGTACTTTGAAAAGTTTGTGGAAAGAAGCAGTTGTGAGTTTGTTGTCTTTCAAGACATTTTGATAAACTGCGCACAGCTTTGTGTGGTGCATGTTTTCCATATCCTTCTAGGCAGCTCTGTGTGAAAGCTTCTGCTTTCATGGAGTGCTTGTTCTGATTGCTGTTTGGGGGCTGGGGATGACTTAGTCCTGCAGCACTTTACCAGGTAGGAGTTCTTGAAATATCTTCCCCTTATGTTGGAATGTATACTTTGTAGTACTTCCTATTCCTCATGTGTTTTTTTATACCATCTCTGATGTTTCCGTTTGCTTTTATGAGCCATTATACCCTGTCTTATTTCACACTGTCACATTTGTTAGGAATGCAAATTCTTCCTTATGTTTTTCTTTCAATGCAGTGTTATTTTTGAGTAACACTTATGCAGAATTTATATAGCTTTTATACTCTCACTTTATAGTTTATTTCTACAGAAAGATTTTCAAACTTACGTTTTTATAAAAGTCATGTTTTCCTTGTACAGAATTTTGTGAACATGCACATTTTACATTTTTAATTTTCCTGCAATTTGAGTGCTTACCTATTTTATGTAAATCTCCATCAAAGATTAATACATCCCAGTAGATGTTTGTTTTTTAGGTTAAAAAAAGTCTTCAATATGTTCTATAGAACAATTATGAATCAACATTCCCTTCTTTCTGCTCTCCTTCCAACGTTGTCTCTCCCAGTGTACCTCTTCCTTCCTTTCTCCATTTGTTCCCTTTCCTTACTTTCATCCATTTTGGACAGTTTCTATATTTGCATTTTAATAAGAAAGGTAAATTCTTTACCAAGTAAGAAGTTCAGATACTAAAAAATGGGGGGTGGGAAATGTTTGGCATCCCCCTATGGGTGATTGTTCAAGTCCCATTTAATCCACTTCTTTTTTTTCAAGACGTATTCATTTATTTGAAAGACAGTGTTGTAGAGAGGCAGAGAGAGTGAGTGAGAGGTCTTCAATCCACTGGTTCACTCCCTGGAAGGTCCAAATGGCCAGAGGTGCACTGATCCGAAGCCAGGAGCCAGGAGCTTCCTCAGGGTCTTCC